TATGCGGTCTTTGGAAGAGGAGGGTCGGGTCCGTTCGTCCCACGCCGTGTTCCAGATCGAGTCGTTGCCTGAGAGTTGCTTGGTATCGGTCAATACCTTACAAAGACGCCGGCGACCAGTCTCGATCGGCTGCCGCCACTGCTGCTGCTGCTCGCGCCGGCACCTCCGCTGCCACCACCGCCGCTTCCTGAGCGATCGTCTTTCTTGGTATCTCTTGCCGCCTCCGTGCCTTGACGGGGCGTACTTGCATTGCTGCTGCTGCTGCTGCCACTGGAGGTGCTTGATCTCGACGTGTCAGGTCCACGGTGACTTGATGAGGATGTTCGTTCTCTTTCGCTCTGCGCACTTGCCATCCTTGAATAATGGTAGTCGCCCGGATAGCTCATGTCCCGTTCTTTCCCTTTGTCTTCCGATCGGTCGTCGGTATCTTGAGGGATTGCCGCTGTGGAACGCTGCTCGACCAGGGAACTCGTCGCAAAATGACCCTCTTCCTCTTCTTCGATCAACGCGGGCGATGTGTCGTGTACGTTCAGACCGACAGCGCCACTCGGCTGCCAATCGTGTTGGTCGACTTCGGCGGGATCCTGTCGCCCGATATTCCTTTCAGTTGAAGGGACTTGTCTGTGTTCTTCAGGGGAAGTTTGCTGAGACGGAGTCGATGGCTCTTCTTCCATATCAGACACAAGGACGCTGGGAGATGCATTAAGACTCCAAGAATCAAAGCATACCTCAGGCGAGTGCTCACATGTTGATATACGCCAGCAAACAGTGATGCCTTACGACACACCCACCTCCAATGGCCCTTGCCAACAGGGCCTACCAACTGGCAAAGTCACCGAATGGACGTGTCTCGTTTGTCTGCGAGGAGCACAGCCTCGTTCAATGCAGCAAAAGTACGCTTGTCGTATTCTGCGCGTATCAACACAGGATGTCGTCGACCCAGCCCCAAACACTTCCGGGAGGACAGCTCACCTTGGCTGGTTGCTGGACGTCCCAAAGGTTCCCAGCGGCGGAACCGAGAGCGAACATAGTTATAGACGTGGACCTGCGACGCGGGCAAGCATCTTTTCGTACGGGCCTACCTCGATGGAGTCATCTCGGCTACTCGAGGAGAGTCGGTAACGGCTGGGTCCCGGTATCGAGCTGTGTGTTTGTCCAATGAACACAATGCCTGATCCTCAAACTTCTCCAGGGTCCATTGCTGTGGTCATGCCGGAGAGCTGGCGTTACATTGTTTATCATTGGCACACGGGGTCAAGAGACAGAGTAATGGACAGTCGATGGGTCAATCACCGACGTCGACTCATAACCAAGTCGCAGGGCTCCATGCTGTGTCATGTCCTGCCCCTAGCAAAAGGCTGTGGCGCCCTAGTCGTCTCCGGCGGCGAGGGATTGGACGATGGGACAGCCGCAGCCGAAAGGGGGGTCCGGTGGGGAGTGTAGGCTCTTTAGCCCCCAGACGGTGGTGATGGTGGTCATGGCCCGGCCAGATGGATTAACAAGCACTTGGGCTCTAGACGCATCCGCGGTTCCTAATCATGCCTGTCCCGATCTTTCGCGACGAGAGATTTTTATCTGGCTGCCTACACGTCCGTGCCTTGATGCCTGGAGTCAGATGACTACCAGGAGTCTAACGCTCCGCCCATTTGTCGACTTCGCGTCACAGCCACGATAGTGCGCAGGTCCATACCGACATGCCGGATGACCTGACGCCCTTGCGAACACTGGACAATTTCTTTGTCGAGGGTACAAGTGCCGAACGCGGAACTATCCAGGCACCACGAGGATGACCTCACGCCGGCTCTGAACCTACTCCTGGCAACGAGCCATTCACGGGCCTCTTGAAGACATGCGCATCGAGTGTCTGCCTGGTGTGCCTGGTTTGCCTACCGCGCCCACACAGTTGGCGTGCCTTATCTGCGGCTGATTCAGATTTAGGGTTCAGCATCACCTGCGAGAGGGCATTTACCCATTACTGCCTCTGGACACGAGGACGGCCGGCCCAGAGAATCCGAATGTGTCCTGCATGAAACCATGTTCGATCCCCACGTGCCGAGACGCGCCACGGCGGGTGTGGGAGGACTGTACGGAGTACAATGCTGTCTGCCTTGCCGGGAATAAATCGCGCGTGCGTCTCCGGCACAGCGTTTGAACGTCGATATGGAAAAACCACGGGAAGACAAGATCGGCGGTGATCTCCCTTTCGCGAAATTGACCTCTCTGGGAACGAGAGAGTTTTCTCCGGCAGAGAAGCTCCCCTCGTGATGGATTAGACGAGCTTCAACTCTAACGACATATTCCCTGCGACATCGAGAAGAAGACGGCCTTCCATTCCTGGCATGCGGCCGTACTTCCCCGCCCTACAGACGCGAGAATTAGCGAGGTTTCTCAATCAATGTGGTTAGGGGCCTCTATGAGTAACCGTCCAAGAGGGACAGTTTCTAAAAATACGTCGTGACTTTTGATAATTCGACTTCACCCACTACGAGTGTCGACATCTCCAGAAACGTCATGCATTGCATTGGAGACAAGTCAATAGGTCCTGTCGTCTCGCCGATTGAGTACTGGGTATCAGGGTAGCGTAGGACGTCTCCAGTCCACGCGACTCGTTATTCGTTCCTGGGGGCCCGTATTTTAGTCGTCCTGCGATCGCAATATTCCCTCGCTAGAGGTATTTCTCAACGGCTCATTCGCACAGACAGGATCCATCCTCCCTACACTAAAGGGTCCCAGCACCAGTTCCCACCATCGTCCCCTACTTGTCACGAGACCTGTACGAGCTGCCTCGCGCACCCGTCTTTCGCCCCGCCTCGTCTCCCTTGATGTCAGGACGCCTCGATTGACGAGGTATTGGGTTACTACTGGGTTCCTACGAGTTATTTTCGGAGCCAAGAGCCTTGGAACATTCGCTCCGGTCGCTTCCATCGTTCCATCACTCTACCAGATCAAGCAAGGGACACGACACGACACGACACGACACGACACGATGCGCCCGAAAATCATATGCGACACGGCAATGTACGGAGTACGGAGTACTTGGACATGGTATCTTCTGACCGTCCTCGGACTGTCCTCATCTGCTGGTGGAAAAGGGGGGGGGCCCGATAGGGGTAGTCTTTCAACGCCAGTTGGGCAGCCACCAGCTAGCCATTTACATACCTGGTCGGCGTTAAGTAGTAGTTCTCGAGACTATTTTTCGAAAACACAAAAGCTACACTAGGTATGGAGTTCTCAGTGTGTACTCCGTACGAGTACAGGGTGCTGGTATGTAACAAGGTGAGAACCCCAAACCACCCAACCTCCAAGAGCATCCGGCATACTCATACGCTTACCCCTTTCCCTGAAAGGTACGGAGTACTTCTGCTTTGACCTACGGAGCACTGTGGTGACCAACAGCACGTCCAGTCGAATCGATATCCACCTCAATGAGCACGAGCACGAGCACGAGGACGACGTCACAACGTCACAAGCCAACCGTGTTATGTTATTGTAGCCCAGTGTACGGAGTAGCCTGGCTACACCGTCCACAGTCATGTTTAGTTCAGTTCAGTTCAGTTTGCCTTGCCTTGTCTTGCCTTGCCTTGCCTTGCCTTGCCTACCTGCTTGTGCTTATTGTGCTTATTATGCCTACATAGCTATGTATGTACACATGATGTACCATAATATAAAACGGTATAAAGTACTATAGCAGAGCATAGCATCAAGTAGCATACCCAGTACCAGCACCAGCACCAGTACTAATACTAATACTAATATCAATACTAGTACTAGCATACTAGCACCAGCACCAGTACTAATACTAATACTAATATCAACACTAGTACTAGCATACTAGCACCAGCACCAATACCTATCCACGCGCTCTTTCCTCTAGACATATAGAGCAGTACAGTACACTACAGCCCCGTAATCTGCCCACGGGCGTGAACAGACGAGACGAGGGTAAACTTGGAGGCCGGTGACCGGAGTTCAAGGATCGTTTTTCTTTCGCTATACTGTGAACTGAATCGAACTGAATGTTCGCTGCAGTGGAGCATACAATGAGTATACAGAAGTGAGTAGTGAGTATACAGAAGTGAGTAGTGTATATACAGAAGTGATTAGTGAGTATACAGAAGTGAGTAGTG